CACACACACACACACACACACACACACACACACACACAGACACGCACAGACACGCACACTAGTGATGGTCCTTTCTGCACGCATCAATTATTCATAATCTGGGCAGTGGGTTTATAATGAACTCTGTAAATTTTTAAAAACACTGCGATGTGTCATATGTCAGTCTGAGACAATAAGTGGCCTATAAATATAGTAAATTGTTGCTTATTTGAGTATCCAGCTGCTTTGTTTTATTAAAGACGTAGCATTGAGAGAAAACCAGGAAAGCTTATTTCCCCCAGCAGTCACTTTGACAACACTTCATATCCGACTGTACTTAAATGCTGAATCTGGATGAACGTGCACATAAAGAAAACTTGTGACCTTACACGTTAGAAAGTCTGAAATGCTTAAATTGATTTAAAAGACCAAAACTCATTACCAACACACTGCAGAGGAAGCTAAACAGTCAAAACTCCAATTTTGATTGTGCTTAATCCACCAAACTTTCCCCCCCTTTCATTAGGATGCGTTGCGTGAGGCGGAGGGTGTGGCGGTGAGCCTGGAGCAGAGCAGAAAGAGAGAAAGAGGTCTGGAGGAGGAGGGGAGGAGACTGGCAGAGGAGAAAGCCGACGCCCTGCGTCTCCTCAAAGACCTGCAGGGTGAGGAGAGAAGACAAATCCATCAAGCATGCGATGCAAACTGATAATGCTAATGCTAATTTTACACATTATTGAAAGAGACACATTTTAGATAATTTTCACTGTCTTGGGAAAATAATTGCTAACACAGGTTTGAACCAGGACTCTGGTCGACTCCCTGTTGATAAATTTAGTGAGTACACACAAAAAAGATGGACATTCATAATTTAAGTGAGTTAGTTGTAATGACTAAGTGTGAATGTTTGACATTCACTTGTGTACAGTTCATGTATGTTAATTCTCCACTAATACATCAGTCTCTGACCTCAGTGCTGCCTCCTGCTGGTTCATGACACATTATCATTTTCTCAAAATACCATCAACTAATCTAGTGATGCATTCATTTTATTCAAAAGGCATATTTATATTTCTCAGTTCATGTGTGGCTTATTACAAATTGTAATTTTTTTCTTCTGTCTATTTTTATTTCCTTTAAACTCCAGAGCAAAAAGCTGCACCAGCACCTCCTCCACAAACTGTGCAGTTTTGCCCGGTTGGACAGAGTTTCTCCCCTCAGCCCTCTTACCCTCTTCATTCTCGAATGTTAACTCACAATCACAAGAGGACAACCGATACCATACGAGCCAAACAGAAGGAGGAGGAGGAGAGCATGGATGAGATAACACCAGAGATTACAGCATCTTACCCCTCTGACAGAGAGCCAGGAGAAGGCATCGACTCTGAACACATCTGTGCTGCCATCTCCTCAGAGTCTGAGGGTTTACAGAGGGAAGGAATCAGGAGGAAAAGTAAGGAGGAAGAGAACATGAGGAGAAATAAGGCGATAGAGTGTGACGGCTCTGGAACACAGAAGCACTCTGGCTTTGATCCTGTACTCTGTATGCCCACCAACACTTCTATGGATGTTTCTGAAAAGCCAGAGCAGGCCAAGGCCTCTGAAGATCTCCAGAGGCAGAACACCATGCTGCGTTCAGAGATAAATGATGTTCGTGAAGAACTCCGGAAAAGACTGGAGGACCTGGAAGCCCAACGAAGGGCTGAGGCAGAGGCCAGGACCCGGCTCAAACAGCTTAGCCGCAAACATTCCAGCCAGGCTTTGGAGAAGGAGGAGCAGGAAAAGGAATGGAGGACTCAGCTGGAGAATGAGAGGGCTGAGACAGAAAGGTTGAGGAAAGCTGTGGCTGCTTTGGAGACAGAGGTGGAGAGCAGAAAGGAAGAGAGTAAAAAGAACGAGAGAGAGGAGCAGGAGGAGAAAAACAAAGCGTTAGAAAACAGAGAGAGTGAAATGATAGAACTTAATATGCAGCTGAAGAAGCAGCTAGCAGAGGTAAAAGCCCAGCTGGCTTTAGAACATGAGGAGAGAAAGAGAGAGGAAGAGGAGAGGAACCAAATAACCAACATGGTCACAGATGAAAAAAAGGAGCTAAGCACACAACTTGCAGAACTTAAGGCTGAATTGGAAGAACTAAAGTGCAGCAGAGAAAAAGATGAGAGAGGAGGAGAGGAGAAGCTATTGATTACTAACAGCCCGCTGAAGTACCTGACTCTCCATGGTGATGAGCTCAATTCCAACATTGTTCACTGTGACAACAAATTCCTCCCTTCTCCAGAGCAGCACCTTCTCTTCTGTCAGTCCACTAACCAACTCAACATGCTGGTATCTCAGGCAACAGCCAATCTCATTCCCGAAGAACAAACAGTGATAGACCCCGAACACTTGCCTCTGTCAGATGAGGGACAAATGGGTCAAGTGGCCTCTGATTCGGAAGACTATCTGGCAGAGTCTTCTCGGTCAGACCAGAGAGGAGAACTTTCTCACCTCCAGAAATGTGGGTCTACCTCCCCAGATTTGGAAAAAGAGGTGAATCGCCTGAACAAGGAGAAAGCTAAGGAAACACAACGTGCACAACAGAGCCAGGTTAAACTGGAGGCCCTGCAGAGCCAGGTAAATAATACATTGGTATACTTCATTTATCCAGCCACGGAAAAACGACTTATATTTATATAATACAAAGAAAATATTTTATGTACTAGATCATAACACTTGGATTTTGAGTAGTTGGATTACAAAGAAATGATTGTTTATACAACACCTTCATGCTGCACATGTGTGATTGATGGGTGGAAGAAAGCAGATGGATGAACAGAGGGATGGTATTGTGATGCAGAAGAATAATATTTATTATGAAATTGATATTTTTGGTTTTTAGACTGAAATGATCAGATATAGGTGAACAGGGTGTAGTTGTATTATTTGTTCTTCTCTCTTCCACTGTTTCGATCTTATATTTCTTTCTTCTCAGGTGACACGTCAGACACAGCAGCTGACCATGGCCTTCGAAAAGCAGAGTCAGCACATCTCAGGCCTTCTAGCTGAGCTACAGGAGAAGGAGGGTGCCCTCCTCAGCCAGGGAGAGGAACTGCAACGATGCAAGCAAGAGCTGCAGGCTTTCAAGGCTGAAAAAGAAGTTAAAACGATTTTGAATGACGATCAAAGAGAAGAAAGTAGAGATGAGACATCGATGGAGACCACAGAGCTACAACCAAACAAGAAAAAGGACTTAGCTGTCATATCTCACACTACACGATCACTGGCTGATGGAGATTCTACTACACAGAGAGATGAAGACCAAACTAAGACTGATGCAGAAACACCAACACCTGTTAGCAGGGAAGGGGACAGTGCATTAAGTGAACAACATCCAGGTTCCGTTGACTCAGACAAGACTGATAGTTATCTTGATTCTGCTTGTGTGATGGAGGAGACTGAGAGCAGTCGAGATGGAGGAAGAGTAGACATGGTGTCGGAGCTGTTTGCTCTGCGACAGGAGAATCAGCTGCTAAAACAAAGAATAGAAGGCTGGACCATGTCAGAGACCAGGAACCTGGATTTACAGACAGACCGTGAAAACCAAGACCCAATCACACAAAGCCATAACACAGGAGATGCTGCTCTCCCCTGCTTGACAGAACAGAGGCCACCTAGTATGAAAGATAACAAAATAAAAAGGAAAGAAGAAGAACAGCTGGAGGAAGTGTCTTGTCTTGAGATCAACCTTCTGGAGGAACAGGTAGTGACATTGTGCTGTGTTTTTTTAGACAGTCTGACACTTTCCATAAATCATCCAGAGGGACGTTTGTGTTGCTCTGGATATTCTCTAGATCCTTTCCTGGCACCACCATAGAACAATGCTAGGAAAATGTCAGAGTGAGCCCATGTGAGAATGTTACAGGAAAATGTCAGGAGAACTCACAGTGAGTGAGTGGAAATGAAACTGATGCACGAAGATGTCAACTGGGAAACACAATTTGATTCAAAAGCTTGTGGCAATAAGGCCCACGCCAGTGTTAATGTGCTGTAAACTGAAACATGTTATTTTCATATTGGAATCTAACATTATGTCCTGCTCTACCCAGGCACCTCCCCTCACCTGAAATGCTCCAGACATTTTTTCTGTTGTTACAAACACAAAGATCAACTTATTTATCACTTTGTTGAGTTTTATTAAGAATGTTCGTTTCATTCAGTCTTGTACTTACTGTCCTGTCCAGGTGGTGGCACTGCAGATGAAGATTCGGGCTCTATCTGTGGAGACCCAGCAGCAGACCGAGGAGCTCACTCTGTGGAGACTGGCCTCACACCCAGCTCCAACATTTGACCAAAACCTTCCCGACAAAGACAACCAGGACCAAAACTCTGCTGTCAGACAATCCCAGTCACAGCAGCTACAGACTGATGAGATGACCCACATCCCACCAGGGACCAAGAGCCAGGCTCCGACTGCTCAGGTTCAGGAGAGCAACAGTAATGTGACAGTCATCAGAGAGGATGAGTTATTCCTCTCCTGCTCCTCCAACAAACTGCCGGGCCGCATGTTGTTCTCCAGGTAACCCACTCGCACAATCGCGAGAAGCAATGGAAAATGTGGAAATGACTTAGATTAGAGGCACTCAAGTTAAATACATTTGGGTATATTTGCACGGTTTGATGAATGTACTGTATGTTGTCTTACTGTGTATTTTTAGAATAAACACATTTTTTCTCCTTTTACACCAAGACTGCAGCACAGCAACCTTCCTGAACCAAAGAGTTGCCTTCAATTTAAACAGACTGCAGCTCTTCAGGAATACAACCAGGACCCTGACAAGGTGATTTCCTTTTTTTTTTTTTTTAACTTTCAGAAGGAGTGACGCCTGAATTTTACATCTGAGTTTTACGTCTGAGTTTTTCCACTCAAGCATAGTTTTCCACATAATTTCCCAGGAAGTTGCTATAAACGGGCTGTGTAATTATACAGAAAATAAAAGATGGGGTAAAAACTAAATTCATTGGAAGTGTAGCCAAGTGAGATTTCACCAAGCTAAATATGGCAAAATGTAAAATCTGTCTACAGGGAAGCATGAGACGCATTATTATTATTATTATATTTCCAGGAAACTTCAAAGGATATGATGACCTAAATAACAATTTATTGGACTGCATCAGAAGTTAAAGCACCTTTAAATTTTACTGTTTACAGTTATGCATGTACAGTTTTGTCCACATATTTCCTTCAGGCATTTAATTGCTGTATTTTGTGCTTTGATGCAGGAATCTGAGAAAGAAAACATTGTCCAGTGGTCAGATACGTGTCCATCACAGCACAAAGACAAGAGAGACACTGAAGTCATCCAAATGTCATCAGACAAAACAGGTCAACAAGTTGCCAAAGGACCAACTAAAACCAAAACAGCAGAGTGTCCCGCGGAGAATCCAGCAGCCAAACCAAACCCTTCCAGAACAACCAATGAAATAAACACAACCAATGACTCCTCAGAGAGAGCAGCCAGGACAGACATGAAGAGTGTCAGCAGTCAAACAGAGGACAGCTTGTATCCTCGCAGCGCTCCAGCAGCATCTGAACTTCACTGTGCTTACACACAGACTGAAGAGGAGGAGGAGGAGGAGGAGGAGGATGAATTCGTGGAATCACCTCCTGTATCTCCTATCCCATCATCAAAGGGGGCAAAGTCAGGAGACAAGATGTTGTTTTCAGGTTCCTTCCCCATCCCGGCTGACCCGGCCCGTCTAGCTGAAAGAATCCGCCGCAACAGGACGCAGCTGTCGGCTGCCTTTGACGACACAGAGTATGAACCGTATGGGCTGCCAGAGGTCGTCATGAAAGGTAACTCCACCAGCGTAAACACTGATAATCTAAACTGTCTTGAATAATTTTACGTTGTGTGAAAAATTGTGGAAATACATTAAATACAAAACCTTAATGGTCTTACTTTTCTCATATATTTGAAGTGAAAACATGTCCTGTATTGGCTAACTGCTTAAAGGAACATACTTCAGACAAATGTCTTGTTTTCAAAGTGTCCTCAAACAAGCTTGTGATTGGAAGGGAGATTTTTCAACTTTTGATTAATTTAGACTTTCTCCATACATATACATCAGTGGCCTACACAAGTACATACACTATGCCAATTTACAGAAGCACAAGAAACAAAGGTTCCAGCTTTTTACGCTGGTCTCTCTCTGCTGTCACACTCTGTCCTTCATCTACTGTCCTAAATCTTCTTTTCATCTCTCCATCTCCCCTTCTTTCCATCCTGCAGGTTTTGCCGACATCCCCAGTGGTCCCTCGTGTCCCTACATCGTGAGAAGAGGTTTGCTGGGGACGTCTGTTGTACCTGTCCTGCAGAAAGACCTGGGACAGGAGGAGGAGACGGATTAAAACACAGCCACAGGTAACCTCCAGACAAAGACCCTAAACTACACTGTGTTGGTTTTGACTCAGTCCGGAACTCAAAGATAATCAACGATTTTCATGCTGGTTGTCTTCAGGTCTGTTGGAAATGAACTGATCACGAATCATAATGACTCACTTTGAAACCTCAGTGATGAACTACAGCAGCTCTGCAAGGACACTCCAGTCACCAGCAACATGAAGCACTTCCTTCTTCAAGCCAACACAGAACCAGTTTTAAAAATGATGCATTCACCTTGGACTTCTAAACAAGTGTTAGCAGGTAACAGGTCCTGCAGTGGCAGAATGAACTCCTCCACTGTGGATCTGAAATGTCTTAATGGTCACCAGTTTATCCTCTAACTGCTGTGAGGAGACATAATTGTCCAGCGTGTTGCAGTGACGTTACACCCGCCTGTTTATTCACGTGCTGAGTGATTTAGTGATGTTTGTTGATTTTTCTTGAAGTGAACCAACATAACAAAGGGACTGTTTAGTTTTTCAGTCGCTCAGAATTAAGGTCCAGCTTCGGGCTACTTTGAATGAAACAGTGCCTCGCTGATGCTTTTCTAAATAAGCACTTGTCAAGATAAGTTTGACTTGTTTTTCCAAAAGGGTAAAGCCAAGAATTGCCTCTTGTGAAAATTTGATATATATTTTTTCTTTTTTGAATCCTGAGGTGGCTTATTTATGGACACTTGAATGTGTTTCAGTGGAGGACAAGTGTTTACAAAACTTAAACTTAAGTTAAAACGTGTGTGACATTAGCTGTGAATAAAACATGTGTGTCCCCTGGATGTTACTGTTTGTATACGCGCCCCCTGTGTGTGTGTGTGTGGGAGAGAGAGGGCCGAGCACATGTCTATGACTCAGTGCAGTGGTTTCCGCTCCATGTATGGAGATGCACACTGTGCTCCCTCTCTCCTCCCTTTGCTGCTTTGCTTCTCCTTCTAATGAGAACTCATTAGTCAGTAACTGTGTGATGAACTGACCAAAATCTAAACATGTGTTTACTTAAGCTGGTTTATCAGAGATTATTTATTTGACTAATTTGATGGATTGCACATTTGTTACTGCATCATAGACATCAGTAGCCCCCATGTATGTAAAGTGTTGATTTTGTAAATGATTTGATTCATGTACAGTTTGCATTATACCAGAGGATAATCACCACTTGGCTTGCTTCCAAGGTTTCACTTGTTAGTGAAAGGACAGGTTCGCATTACTCCAAGTTCTATTCTTAAAGGTTCAGTGTGTAGAACTTTGTCATATCTAGTGTTGAAGTTGCATGTTGCAGCTGAACACCCCTCACCTCACCCTCCACTTCCAAACTTGAAAAAGAACCTGTGGAAACCTTCAGTTGTCATAAAAACTCAAAAGGATTAATGTAAAAAACATGGCGGCCTCGGTAGAGAGGGTCCCCTCCATGTCAATATAAAGTATTTAAATATAAAGAGAAATTCATACAATTTAGATGAAACGAACTAGAGAAAACATCATGAAAATTATTCTACATTAAATTCCCTTTCATCTAAATCTTACACACTGGACCTTTAAAATTATACTCACATGCTCATAGGTACATTGTGAAGTCTACTCTTGGCCGTCTCCTGGCTGCAAAGGTCCTTGATGGAAGAAAGATGGAGGAGAAAATCCAGAGTCTGTGTTCGTTATAGAAATACACGCTAAAGTTAAGCAGAAAACTTTAATAGTCTGATTAAGGAGCCTGGTCACAGCAGTGGAAGTTTGGTGATGATACTGGCAGGGCGAGTTGGAAATGTTTACTGCCAGTCAGTCTCAACAGCTCCTGGATAATTAATTGTTTCCTTTCTGCTACTTTTCTTTTTACTTTTTAGTTCATCATTGTAAACCATTTTGTTCTTGAAGGTAGGGACAGTAGCTTCACACAGTTTGTGCCAAAGACACATTTGTCCCATTAACTACCTGTGAATTAAAACATGACTAGAAAGATTTGCACAGATGCATCTCTTCTTATTTACTTCTCCACCGTGAGACGTTCCACCAATCACAGGGACTCCAATGAAATGTAGAAATATTTTTTTTAATGTTTTCTTTATTCATGTGACTTTGTCCCCCTTTGTCACACTGACACAGATTTAATAAAGTTTCTCCTGCAACCAATATAAACAATCCAGAATCAATACAACCGTTCATTCTTTCATTTTACAGATACGCGTGTTGGTGTTGCTTTAAAGAGTAAATGTGAACCTGTCCTTTAAAACCCTGCTGTGCTGTCTTTCAGTGTTACTTGAAATAATTTAGGCTGAAGGTTTGTTGACACATTAGTGTTAAAAGTGTGAATTGATTTAGTTTTTTTTTTTATGTTTACATTTTATGTTGAGGTGGAGTTGTTACTTCCTGGTCTTGTTAACTGAGAACATTGGACGTTTTACGATTCAGAACCGTCGCTGTTCATCTGCCATGTTGACACCAATCACACACACACACACATACACACACTCCCTCCCTTCTAGCTGCCTTCATATCTCAGATCTGTAGTTTTTTGGCAGAGAGGTGAGGACGGACTGAGCAGGGAGGTTCACTGTGTATCTTGTTGCCTTGTTTTGAACACTTTGATGTGAATGTATCTGTGTTGTGTTTTTGACTAGAATAAAAGGCTTGATTTTAATTTATCCGTTGTTTCCTTTATCTGTCAGCGGAGTTTGGCTGTGTCTGTCGTTGTCATGGTAGGTCTGTTTGGTCCGCTGTTAGTGTGTGTGTGAGGTTTTTTTTTTTTTTTACTGCTGGCGTACAATTTAGCCTAAATGAGTTCCATGGTTCAATGACGAGAGCCTCAAAGTGTTTAAGTGGAATATCTTGGTGAAATCACATAAGTATTTCCTCAATTACCAAAGTCCTCTCGTCTGCCTCTTGGTCATGCTCACATTGTTGAGAAGCTACTGAAAAATTTCAAGCAGCGGAGAATTAGAGGGTGAATGGACGAGTTGGGCTCTCCAACTTTCAGAGCCTGGTTTATTTCATGTTGCAATTACTCCTCAACGCAAGAGAAATTGTTTGGAGCATAATTTTGACTTTAAAGAAACAAGTGTCTCTTTTTACTTCCCAAAAAGACACGGGTTGGAAAGGCGAAGGATTTAGAGAGCCGAGCCCCCCCACGTCCAGCTCAGGAAACTCTGGGCCCTCTGCTCTTCCTCTGCGTTGAAGGCAGTAAATCACACTCGCTGTGCGGCGATGGACTTCACATGCACTCATGCCTCGTCCCTTTCTTCTCCCCCTCCTCGTCCCTTTCTTCTCCCCCTCCTCCTCCTCCAATCTGCTCTCCTCTGTCAGAGTGATGAAGGGTCACAAGAATGGGGAAACACCTTCCAAGGAGAAAACACATGCACTTTCACAACACACACACACACACACATACACACACACACACACACATTTCTTCGCTGAATGGTGAGAGAACAGCACATGCTGCATAAGACCTAACCAACACTTCTCCAAACTGAAGGTAAGACATGAAAAATTATTTTTTTTCTCAAGAAGTATAAGAGACTGATTTTTCTCTTCATACTTAGATTTTTTAAATGATGCATGATACTTGGTTTTATATTCAGTCTGCATGTGTGGTCTTTTCTCATTTAATTAAAGTTTACCAAGTAAAGGAAAAACAGTCACACCGATCAGTCCCCTGCTCTAACATTCCTTCCCATATAAATTCTCTTAACTACACAAGTTTAAACCCATGTATTTAAAAATTCATGCATTCAGCTTTTGCATTTGATAAGTATTTTATTGTTCGGATGTTATTTTTTTGTAATTTTTTGTCAGCCAGTTTATGATTTTCTAAGCTACTTCTTTTCCCATCATTATTTTTGAGCCTCAGTCTTTCCCAGTGTGCAAAACCGGAGACGCAGAGTTGTAAACCTGTGATCTCGCTCTGACGTCAGCGTTGGCTCACTGAGGAATGGAGACAAATACTTTTGGACGTAATTACATCTAAAGGAGCTTAATTTTCCCTCAGCGCTGTAAACCTCTAAATGACTTCACCCTCATCTGCAGACCGACTCATTCATCTCTGGAGGTTTTGTCAGCTCGTGGGCACAAATGAAGGGCTGGGACGGAGATGTTTGATTCAGAGGCTGTGGCAGAGTCACTTTTATAAACAGGCCTCCTTCTGTTACCTGACAGAGTAGGAGCACATCAGTCACTAAAATCCAGTGATGTGAGTCTCTAACCTTTGTCTCTAACCCTTTGTTTCCTCATTGATCCACAGCAGTATGTGTTTATATAATAATACTAAAGACTGTATTTACATATACTGAGGTGGTGATCCCTCCCTTTAATACAATGATGATAAATCACTGTTATAATGACTGTTTGTTGATATATATTTGTACCTCTATGACAACTATGTCATGCTCCTTTTGTTTGCATGTTGCATATTATCTTACATAATGATGCGACTTATGTTTGTGGTCAGAGTGGTTTAACTCCATGTCTCACCTTGTATGAATCACAATATCATCACAATATCACACATTCAATTATGGATTTCTAAAGTTTTTTTCGTTTTTCCATTGTGCAAAACACTGATCTCATGAAATAAGTATAATTTCCCAAGTTAAACTGCTGGATACAGGAGGTTCTCAGTGAAAATCTGTTTTGTTTCATATTAAGCTGTGATTGACTCAAAACTAAAACATGCACAGTTCTGCACAGCAGTTCAATGTGAAGGAACTGAGCCAGAGGCATTTTTGATTGGACGGTGGATTACAGTATAGTTTTTTTAGTCCCCGGGAACACAAACACAACGTGAGGGAGAGACTAGTTACAAATGTCTTTGAGTCTGATGTTTGCAGCTGTTGTAGTTTTATTTAGTTCCTGTCGTTGCTCTCAGTTTGGTCCGATTTGTATGACACACCTGCCTTAAATGTAAAAGCTAAGAATAGCTCATGAACATCTTCTTCCAGCCTTGTGCTTCTTTTCAAACAGATCACCTCATGATTTATTGCCCCCCCCCCACCTGCCCCTCTGTTTAACTTCAGATAAGATCACAGCCCTGCTCTCTCTAAGCCCCTCGCTCAATATCTTAGCAAAATATCAAAATATGCCAGCTTAGGTTTAGACAATGATAACTAATAATATCTGTCAGAGCAGAGAGACTGTCCTCACAAAGCGGAGCCAGCGGTCCATTAGCGCAGAATGCTAACAGTTGGTGGAACTCTGGGAAATCTCAGAACATTGTCACGGTCCATGTGGAGACGAGCAGAAAGAGAAGCTCCTGTGTGTGTCTGTGTCTGTCTGAATGTGTCATCTCTGTGTGTCCATCTGTCCCGTGTGTTTGTTTGTCTGTATATGTGTGTGTCTGTGTGTGCGTCTGTATCCCTGTGTGTGTGTGACTGTCTGTCTGTATATGTCATCTCTGTGGGTCCATTTGTCCTTCTGTGTGTACGTTCTGGGTTTGTGTGTGTGTGTGTGTGTCTCTATGCCTGTGTGTGTGTCTGTCTGTGTGTTTCAAAATCTGTGTGTGTGTTTGTCTCAAAGGTAAACACGGTTCAAAGAAATTATTAGAATCCAAATGAAGATAAGGGATAAACATGTTTTCGATTAATGTCAAGATGTATGTTTGGACTTCTGGCAGAGTCTAATCGTTTGTGAGGCGGCTGGCAGGGCGGCCTGGTGTGTGTCAGTCCCTCCCTGGTTATTATGACGAAGTCCCAACTACGTGAACGCTCATTTGTGAACGTGAACACTCAACAATTCCGCTCATAACCTATTAAAACAGAGAGAGAAGCGCAACTGTGCCAACGTGCATGTACACTAAATCAAGGCATCTGTATTTTTATTTTCATTTTAGTCCCCAGAGAAGAAAGTAATGGAACAATCCCACTCCTGAACACAGAGGACACGAGCGAAGCAGAGAACAAGCAGAGGAAAGAAAAAGTCAAGGATTTGTCCGTCACCTGATCATTGGAGCTTTAACATGGGATGAGCTCCTGACATCAGCGGCTGAAGGTACTTTCATTATCGTCTGCTCACTTATAAAACATTCTTTATCTCTCTATTCTAACAGCTGGCGTAAAAGAAACCACAGAAAACATTTCAAAGTGAAGAATAGTTCCTTTCAATATTACAATAAAAGCTGCATTTGGCTGGGATCACACTGGACGCTCTTTTCAACACACTGCACCTTCTGTTCGGTTTGATCGCAGAGCGCCATTTTCCCAGCATCTTACACGACTTCACAGCGACGCAGAGGAAACAAACAGCTGTAACTGTATTTGCTTACCTGGTGGCTTTAAGAACCAATTTTAGACAAGTTCAGTTTAGACTCGATCACTGGTTCTACTCAGCCTGAGAAAAAAGGTCACGTCTCCTGTGATTCTGAGACCCACAAGTATATTATCTTTCTAAATTGCAACGCCTAACTTCAGCCTTAGCCCTTTGAAACACATCATTCCACCTATGGGACACTTGGTAGCTCTACTATAGCTGTGGTCATGACAAAGTTTTTTTCTGCATATGAGACACAACTACAGGCTTTAGATTCCCATTGAGGAAAGAAAACTCATATTTTCATTATGTCTGTGCTTCTGTAACTTTGGTTCAGTATCTCTGGTTGTCTTTAAAAAGTTCTCCTTCTACGGAGAGCTGAGTTATGACTGTCATCAAAAGGTTTCGAGAACAGTAACCTGATTATCTTGGCTGCATAATGTGCACTGACGTGGAACTGTTTGGTAACAGGTTAAGCGTCGGGTAGAAAAGCCACAGTCCTTGTTCTGTGCAGAAATGCATTAACAAGACGTGATTGATACATGTTCATGATTGACCACTTGATTTGATAAACTCAGCCTCTTATGAGCTTTTTCTTAACTGTGTTTTTGCAGCACATTAGGACTGTAGATACTGTCCTGTACCATGTTTAAAGATACTGAGCTCCATCACCCTGTTATCAATCATCTTGTGTTGTTACTGTTTTTAATGTGAAGACAGATCATTTCTAAAGAAGTCCCTTACTAACTATTGAATCACATTATAAAATATTCTTCTTTACAATATGGACAGGAATAAAAACTGCAGCAAATAATCTTTTTTACATTGTCCTTTAAATTTAAATTACAATATAACAGATTACAACATTGTCGTAGGACAGACTGGAATTGGAACCTATTCTTCGATGTGGCTCCCAAACGTATTCCTACTGTATTCTCTCACCAGATGGTACAGTTCGAATTATTTTATTTTTCAAAGTAGCTCTTAACTTTTCACTTTTCCTCTCATTGACTGTTTCTTTACATAATCCTCGTCAAGCACTGACGCACAGATTTATAAATAAAGGTTGTTAATATCTGTCAGCCTTCCAGGAACTCTTGTTACCTGTTTACATGTTTCTCTGCTCACACACAGTAAAGGAACTTCCTGTTTATGGCCAGCTGTGCCCCACTGTATCCTGACTGAGAGCCCGACCAGATCCTGGCCTCTGAGCTCTGACCTCTAACCCCGGAGGGCCGGGGGGGGCGGCAGGAAGAAAATGCGGTACACCACCCTCTTGGCCCTGCTGACTGGGGTCATGCTGTACCTGGGGATGGGGGCGCTTGTTTTCCGCACCCTTGAGGCCCCCAAGGAGAGCTCGTCATACGAAGACCTGCTGAGAACCAAGCAAACCTTCCTGGATAATAACTCCTGTGTCACTGAGCTGGACTTCCACAAGCTGATAAAGGTATTATCTCTTTAAAGAACTCCTCATCATTTAAATAACACAAAATATACTGTTTTTGATTGAACATTGACAATACACACAAAATAGACTTCTAACTAGTTTTATATAGCACCTTCAAAACAGTTTCAAGGTGCTTACAAGTTAAAATGAAAAATTGAAGGTTGACAATATGAAACAGTTACAATTTTTAATTTTATAATTATATATTATATTAAGGTTACATCATATAACTTTGACCTAACCAACTTCCATCCCTCCCCTGCAGGGAGTGGTGTCTGCGGTGGACGCCGGCCTGGATGTGAGCAGACTGTCTGACAACTTCACCAGTCGGTGGGACGGACCCTCCGCTTTCTTCTTCTGTGGTTCCATCATCACCACCATAGGTAGGTGTCGGGACGTCCCCTCAGGAGAAACTTGAAGATCCTCCAAATATAAAATGCTTCACCTCTGTAAAGAATACATACCTGATATGTTGTGGAAAAGATTAATAGGAGAACAATTGTCCACAGTGAGCTTCTGTAATATTCAGCAGATGTGCGTCTGAGCCCTGCGGCCACGTTTACAAAGGATCTTTTCTTTAAACTCACTTTCTTCACACGATGGAAAATTTATTTATTTGTTTGTGACGATTTAACGGCATGCCGCTGGGAAGTTTCATCAGTGCTGGCAACAGTATTTTTCCACAGTGGTGCAGAGTCATAAAAGTTATCATTTTGTTGATCTGATGAGACACTGGACCCTCATATTTGTATGAATATAAGAACTCGACGTGACCTCTCCTGTTTGAGAATCAATTTGTGGTCTGTTGTAAAAGGAAGTTGGTTTAAAAAACTACAGAAAACTAAAGGGTCACAGCTTATGTGTACTGTTTAAAACCCCTGATTAAAATAACTTCTTACACATAGATATCAACTTATATAATTAGCTAGAGGTCTGTGTTGTTGTTTTTGTAACAGGCTTTGGGAACCTGTCTCCTCGGACATGGTACGGCCAGCTGTTCTGCGTGTGCTACGCCCTGGTGGGCATCCCCATGTTTGGCATCCTGCTGGCTGGAGTGAGCGATCACATGGGCACCGTGCTGCGGAGAGCTGTGGCCAAGATTGAAACCCTCTTTCTGGTGAGATTGGTCTGTCCTGACCTGAACACCAAATCCCATTTGGGTTTATACCCGTCTGAGTCACAGCTTTGCTCCTCTTTTTTCATTGTCTCAGCTCTGAAAAATGTTGTTCATTTCCAGTCATCAGAATAAAAGTATTTCATCTCATTTATTTGAACCGATTGTTAGTTATTATTGTGGAGACATGTTCAAGTTTGTGCAGTCTTGAAGTAGAGGATCAATTACTTCAGAGGTTAATATACAAACGCAAACTATTTAAACAGTGTGTGGTTGTTATCAGTCTGCATTAGACATTGTGGAGAAAAGGGATCCTCAAACAACAAACACACACATTTAAACAGCTCGATTATGAAGCTGACATGTGAAAGTCCACTTGTATCTCATCAGCAAATGAAGTTTGTTCAGAAGAGAAGACTAAGATCCTTTTTAATTGATATTTATCAACTAAATGTATGTTTTAACTGCATGGTCCCTTTCAAATAAGATAAATAAATAAATAAAACTTGTTGGTTTGAATTAAAAATCTAGAGATTATGTGATTAAAGAAAGTCCTGCAGGATGCACCTCTAAACTGCACTAGCACCTTCCTTGTAAAACAGTGCAGAGAATGAAACAGATAATAATGATGTGTGGTCAAACAGAACACTAAACTTTTAAATCTAATTGTTTAGTTGTTTCGTTTAATCCAGTTCTTCTTCCTGTCTCCTTTTTTTTCATTTTGAAATTTGTGATTATCACAACAGACTCAATGAATCATTATTCACTCAGCCTCTTGTATTTTCCATTTTCTTTCTTAGAAACGTATGGTCAGGCCGACCACCGTGCGTGTGATCTCGGCAGTTCTCTCCATCCTGATTGGTTGTCTGATCTTCCTCGCCGTGCCGACGGTCGTGTTTCAGAGAGTGGAGGACTGGTCGTTTCTGGAGTCTCTCTACTTTGTCGTCATCACTCTCACCACTGTCGGCTTCGGAGACTATGTACCAGGTACTGACAGAATAGCAACAGGACTCTGGCTTTTGGACTGTTGTGGTCAAAAGCTGTTTTCATGCAGTAATGTGAGTTTGTGTCCAGGTGGTGGTCGTGAGGATGGCCTGTTCTTCAAGCCTCTGGTGTGGTTGTGGATAGTTTTTGGTCTCGCCTACTTTGCCTCCATCCTCACCATGATCGGCAACTGGTTGAGGGTGCTGTCGAAGAGGACTCGCGCTGAGGTAAGAGAAGTATGGTGAAGGAACATCTACCAATAGAGGAAGAGTTGCACTTATCTTGTTTTATTCTGCTGATCACATCTCTCTCCCTCGCTCAGATGGAGGAGTTGAGAGCCCATGCCACAGACTGGACCCAGAACATCCAGAACATGTCCATGGACTTCCGCATCCCAAACCCTCTGGAGTTCAAGGACCCCTTCCTCCTGCAGCGCCGACGCTGGAAACGCAGTGAGCGCCGTCACATCCGTCGGGGAGCCGAGGGCACTCTGGGATACTGGGATCAAGGGGGATCTCAGAATGGATACCTGCCAAACCGCTGGGGCGGCCTCTCTAATTCCATGAGCCAGCTGGAGGCCCATTCATCTATCGAGAGGGCGGTGGTGGCGAAATCCAGGCCACGGGTCAGGGCTGTTGGAGGGGCAACTGTCCCGAGAGCAGGGCCTGGGCTGAGGGTCGACCCCACTGTGGGTCTGCAGGTGGAGCGAAGGTCGTTTCCTCACCTGCTGACCCGCTCGTTTTCCGTCCCAGTGGCCTGCTCCACCTCTAGGCTGAACGCGGCAGTTGCAGCCATGCAGGGAGAGTCTCTGTCTGGATCTGAGTCTCTGTATGACTCCAGATCAGATGGCTCCTCGGTCTCCTTGTCCTTCCTGGCGCTCCACCAGTTCCAGCCCTGCTGCACCATCAGCACACTGGAGAAGGGAGGAGCGAGAGCCGCAGACATGGACGCAGTACAAGAGAAAGACAAACTGCTTCCAGCAGACAAATGTGGATCTGTAGCAAACAATACCTACAAACAAACACATACCCGTGCCTATCACCCACACTCCTTCCCTCCTCCCCCCTTTTTACCTCCTTCTCCACCACCAATTATCCTTCCCTCACCTCCTCTCAACACGGCCTCCTCGGCCAGTTGCCAGCTGCTGGATTTCTTCGGGGAGAACTTAGCATACATCGACGAGTCCTCGGACACGCTGAGTGACCGCACCCAGCCGGCAGCGTGCGAGTCAAGGAAGAAACGGCCGCGAAAGCCGAAGAGGAGGAGCATGAGGAGGCAACTGCCACAAAGGTGGAGCCCCCTGCAGGTGAGGAAGCCCAACAGTGACATGCAGCCACCATCAAATCCCCCTACACCACCCCCAGACTCTTCTCTGTCAGACCTGCCCTCATCGAAGTAGCAGACAGATTCAGCCCCCGCCCTCTGATGACCACCTCAGCCACAACATGACATGAGGTAATCACAGCTATTTATGGTTAACCTCGCAAAGTCAGCCCATGAACTTTGCTTTGTTACTTTGTGATGTGGCAGAAATCTCTTTAAACAGACTCAACAATACATGTTTTTTGGCTGTTTTCCTCCTGAAAGAAACTCTAAAAATAATCTAAAGAGACAAATAGGTCTTTGGAATGAGGGAATTATATTTGACTTTAAAATGGACCACACCTGCAGTAAATACTTAGCCGGGAATACTCAAGGTTTCAGGAGGCAATGAGTCACATCATTATCCAGACATCATTACACATAATTATCCGCTAAGTTGATCTGACTTTCAGCCGCTGAGCTCAGTCGATGCTGCTCCGACAGATTCTTCACTAAGTGTCAGATGTGAGGTGGATTTGTGAGGCTAACGTTTGACGAGTGATTTACAGCCTCAAATTCAGTGCTTTATGGCTGAGGTGGAGGCCACTTCCACAAACATAAACATTAGGTTACAAAATAAAAAATTAAAAGGGAAAGAAAACAGAGGAAGGATTTTACACGGCACGTGCGATATATTAAATGAATGCTGTTTAGGCCTCCATCTGCAAATGAAGATAATCACAAGACACAGTGCGTCAAGTTCTTCATGGGTGTCCTTCCACCTCATATTTCAAAAATCCTGTGGGAAAACCCTGCGGTGGGTCGAGGAACTGAACCACAACAACAGTACGTCAGTGTTCACGCTCACACCAGCGTCTGTCGTCTGTGTGATACCATCAAACAAGTCCTGATCCATTAAAGCCTTCAACGTTGAGACTGTCAAGAAGTTTGAAGGATAAAATATATATTTAATCTGCTGGTTCATGATATGACTCTTGAATGTTTTAACTTGTTCTGTTTGTGTCCACTGCTTTGTCTTCAGATGTTAGTGCTGCTTTACAAAATGATACGCAACTTTGTGTTCGCCTGAGGTATAAGTGATCAGAGTGATACTCAAGCAAGGTTATTTCTAATTTTGTGGTGTTTACCAATTGTGCTATCGAGTGCCCATCAACTTGGTATTTGTGGTCAGCTGAACTCTGTGAGCTGCCTCGTATTATCTTCCAGCGAAACATTTCAAATGATTATTGATTATCAGAGCTTCATTAACACATTCTGTTATTTGACACTAACATGACTTGTCTGTGCAGATGCCTTGATGATTTTTTATATTATTGTGACAGAATGGAGCTTTATTTTCTTTTTTTTTTTACTTCTTACTCATTCAAGTGCACGTTGATGACACATCACACCTCCAGCCAAAGGCTTTACACTGTTCCACTGATCAAACGATCACAGCTCATCGCACACGTCAGGCTCGTAAACATACGTAGATGTTCACACTGCAGCTTTCAGAGATTTAAGAAAATAAAAGCTTTCTGATTAACCTCTTTACGAGGATGGTTTGTTGGACTTCAGGGATGCACCCAAAGACTTACAGTGAATGTAAACAAAAACCTAAAGTTGAAAAAGTGTGAATATACTACTTACTATTTCTAAACTTTATCTGAGTGTGTTCATGTTGGAAAGGTGACAAAATTCTGAACACTCAAAATAGTTCATATTATAAATGAAGAGATCTAGAAACGTCTTGGAAAACAAATAAAGTAGCAAGAGGGTTAGTTAATTAAAATACATTTTAATTGATCTATCTTTTATAGCACATTGAATTTTGAATGTAAATGAAATTTATTTTCAACTAACTGTGTAGGAGTAACATTTAGTTTACTGTGCTACTGTCAGGGTTTCTGCAGGGTCTTAAAAAGTAAAAAAAACAAGAGTGAAATTTAATAATTAGAAATTTCGGCTTTTAAAAGTCTTAAATATGTTGAAATACTGAGTAGTTCTTAAATAGTTTTAGGCAGGTCTTAGTTGTGATAATGTTCACTACTTTCATCATGCTTTAGAACATTTTCTAAGATAAATTTTTGATGGCAAACAGTTTGTTATGTCTGTGTGTTGTTATCAGTGATACAGCACACTTGTTTTACTTGCACACTGTAATAAAACGACAACTCTGGATACCCACTGTCTCTGCCTGTAGTTTGAGTGGTTATTCTCCACTGGGGTTCTTCACCTTATCTTCAATATAGAGAAGCATCAGTAATTCTAGGACTATTCCCATCTGTTGTACTTTGATAGAGCTTCAATTTCATCCATTATGGTCTTAAAAAGCTTAAATGTGACCTTGTTAAAACCAACAGAAACTCTGTGGTACACAGAGTTGCAGAATAAGTGTGTTGTCCTCTGTCCCCTGGAGGAGCAGTGGACGTGAAATGACCTGAACCCTGAAAGTCCTGAATGAACTCGTCTCTCTGTGGATGTGGGATCTCTTCCTGCTTACTCAGGACCAGGAGCTACGACACGAGGCTCTTGTGGCAACGTGTCGTCTGCCAGAGCCAAAATAAGTAACACAAAGTATCCACACTCATATTCAGGCTCCCACATATTTTGTAATTTGTTTACAGTAGGCTCGAAGGAGAAAGATATTCACATACTCTGCTGACCATCATTTTCATTATGAGTCTGACTCCTGACCTGTGGAGGAGGTTTTTCCTCTTTCTCTGTTTTTCTTTATATGCAATAAAAAAGAAAGTGGAGAGTCAGGATGTTTGAATTGTGTCTCACTGGTGACTCAAGTTTTCATCATTCTCAGACTAAATATATGGCATTGAACTCTATTTTCTGCTGCAAAACATATATAGAGTTTATAAAATATGATGTTTCCTTATAAATTAAAATACAAATTCAAAAAACAAGATGCACTAATCAGACGCTCGGCAGAAAATTAACTGGTAATTATTTTATGTCACTTTCCAAATGTGAAGAAACAACTTACAACATTTGTTGGTTTTAACAATTTTAATTTAAATCACTTTGAGGTTCTGACTTGAGGTTTTGGTCAAAACAAACAAGGTGAAGATGTCACAAAATAATCAGAAGATTAATAAACAATGAAAATATCCTAAACAAAAATGTTACATTATAATTAATATATACTTATTTACATACAACTAATTTAATTTGCAAATCTTTCATTAAATTGTGCTCCGAAAAGCAGATTAAATGACACAAATGCTGAAATTCTATCTATTCCTCACAGTCATTGTCTAACTTGTTTCATATGTGGACGGACTGAATTGTCAATAAACAAAACTTTTTTTCTAATTCATTGGTAATTTCAATGTAGAGCAATGTTTGAGCAGTGAGTCAGTAAATACAGCTTTTACCTTGAATCCAAAAACGTGAGCCTGACAGCAGGACACCCGCAGGATGTCGCCCTCATCTGTTTAACAAGAGAACAGCCAGGCCTCTGAGGGTTTGGTCCCCGCAGGCCCTCAAACACCGCTCTGCTCTCCAGATGAACTGCCTGGAGGGTATGGTTTCAATAAGGCTGTGGGCACAGATCAGTATCTCCTGCTCACTGGTAAAGTAAACAGAAGATGCTGCTCGTTCCTGGTGTTTTGTTGCCCTGACAGCAGGATTTCAATGTGACTTTCAGAAAAATCAAGGAATGATTTCAATCTGGCTGATTCAGAAGAACCAGGAGGTGTGTGTGGGAGAGAATAGTTTTTTTACAACCTTAATCAAAGGCTCTATTTTACATGTTGGTGACTGAGGGGTGTGTGTGTCAGGAATAAGAGTCATAAATCATAATGTATCTTTCTATACATACAATCGGATCTGTGTGTGTATGTGTGTGTGTGTGTGTGTGTGTGTGTGTGTGTGTGTGTGTGTGAGAGAGCGGGGGTCGACAGCCGCAGCAGACTCCCCTCCCAAGGACAGTGGGACCCAGTGTGAGACAGAGCAGGGCTGTGCTGTGGGATAAGTACAGGTTGGATATAGCAAGGGGTAGTTAAGTGTAAAAGACTAACAGATGCTGGGGCAAGTTTACTCAGGGGGGAGGGAGCCTCACCACAGCTCAAGCACTAGCACTCTGACACAAACACACGCACGCACACATGCACTCTCACACACAGGATTCTCACTGTGGCTTAGAAAAAACAATTTTTACGGCAATGGCTGGAGAACAGTTTGTATCTCTTTAACCTATTTTAACAGCAGCAGCAGCTCGGATAAAAAGCTGACTCTCCTCAGTTCAGACAGACGCATCTTTAGCAATGACTGAAGTCAGATATTAAAGATATTAAAGGTTCAGTTCACCAAAATGAATGACGAACAAAATAACACCTACATTTATTTTACATCCATCTTTAATATTTAACACAAGGGAGGTGAACTGGTTTTGAATTGTGGTCCACAAACGTATCATTGAAGTCCTTTTTATGTTTTACTCTAATTATTAATTTTAGTGACTGAATTGGCCAAACAGGTCATTAAGTAGTTTCCTCAATGAACGGAGGTAAATGTGTGTGTGTGTGTGTGTGTGTGTGCTTGTGTGTGTGTGTGTGTGTGTCCTGATTTCATTATTTACCAGATGAGGCAGAGACGGAACCTGTTGCACCAAATGACCTAACAGATCAAAACTAACTGCTCCTCAGAGGTAGACGAAATATTCAGATCCTTTATTCAGGTACAAGTAGCCTATACAAATACAAGAATGTAGAAATACAGAATCCTAGTGAAGTAAAAATACAAAGGTACTGGCAGGTAAAAGTGCAATACATTTGTTTTATCTGTGGCCAAAAGTGGTTTTAAGATTCGAATTAAAGCCAGTTACCTGTTTTAACAGTGTAGCTGATCAAGGTAAAGATATGGGCGTACCGTAGATATTTTCCCATTTGTATATATACTTAGAATATACAGTATATTATCATTATTATAGATTTATAAATCATGGATTATAGGTAAATGGTCAGTTGTTGGGATCTTTGTATGTTGTTGGCATTGTCAGTGTTATTTTTGCGTTGATAAAAATATTGTTAAAAA